AGCTCCGGGCGGAGTCCCGCCATACACAATCCCACCAGGGTCTCTTCCGTCATTTCCTTGCACTGGTTTCCCAGTTTAAGGAACTCCGCGCGATACTCGGCCACCGACCCTGTTCGTCTGAGCTTTGGCCAACTGTTTCGGGGCCCACCCCTCTGCCTTGCCAAACTGGTAGCGTAGCTCATCCTGGAACCTGGGCCAAGATATGATCTCACCTGCCTCTGCATAGGCTCTCTCAGTCCATTCCCACCACTGGAGGGCATCTCCCTCAAGATAGAAGGACGCCAGGTGCGCCTTCCGTTCCTCTCGGATCGGGTGGTTTCTGAACCACCTCTCAGCTGCATACAACCATAAACCCACATCTCCCGAGCCGTCGAACTTGGGAAACTCTATCACTGGCGGTTTAGCTCTAAATACCAATTCCTCTTCAGTTTCATACAGAGGGTTATGGTACTCATACCTGCCTGTGTTCGGCGGTGGTGGCTGATTCCTCGGCCCCTGACGGTAGTGGCTGCCCGAGACTCGCTGCTCGGGAGGATAGGGCCAGTCGCCCGTTATCTCCTGGTGGTTCCCCTGGTACTCCGGCTTGGTCCCCGGCCCTTGCCCAATGTCCCGGCAACCTCGACCGCGTCCCCCTCCTGCTCGTGGCGTACTCCATGGGGGGTACCTGTACTCCAGACCCCTGCCGGGACCCCTGCTCGGCCCGTTCCAGCTGCTGCCCGTCGGCTGGTGAACCGGATCGGTTCGATTCGGTTCGGTCCGACCGGTTGGCCACCCGGTTACCAGCCTGGTTCGGCCCGGCCTTGAGCCCGCGACCCAGCCCCATCTCGCCTCCTCTTGGCTCGGCTCCATCCATCCCTCTGGGTCGCCAAAACTCAACTCCTCCTCGGGCCAGGGTTCTTCGCCATCGGGCCCAGTCGGCCATGGTTCTCCCTCGTACCCCGTCATCTTCTGTCGTGGGCCGGGTCCACCGGTGTTGGTAACAGGCCAGGCCCACTGAATGCAGGTGCCGCCGAGCTTCTCGCGCCCCGACTTCCCGGCTCCCCGGCTCTACCGTGCGTCATAGCCGAGTTGCCCGGCGCTCCGCCCGCTCCCGTCCGGCCAGCGCCCGCGCCCGTCGCGCGGCTGCTCCTCCTAGCGCGCGGCCACCGCGCCACTGCCCTCCTGGCCCGTCGAGTCCGCTGCAGCCCCCGGCGGTTTGGCCAGCACCACCCCGGCCATCCTCTGCACCGCCGCGGGTCGATCCTCAAGGGTTGGCTCGCGACTCTGCAGGACGTCGATCAGAACCTCCTTGATCGTGTCCGCGAGGGCTCGGCACAGCTTATCCATCATTGCTTTGCCCATCTCCTCAATCGAGACCGCAATCTGACTGCCTAGGGCTTCAATGGCGCCGATCGAGCCCCGCGATGCTGCTGCTGTTCTTTCCGTCGATTCCGTGAGAGTTTCCAACGTTGCAACGATTCCGTCATACTTGTTGGTGGTGATATCCTTCACTGTGACGATCTCCTTGGTCGTTCTCGGCTGCTGCGGTTTGTCTGCCAGGTTCGTCATCTTCTTGCTCAAGACCCTCTGCAGTAATCAGCACACCAGCCAGGCTCTGATACCACTGAAAGAGCACGGATCTAGGTGTGCGATTGAGGATCGTGATTGGTATGAGAATTAGGGATTTGGGATGAGGTAGAATTAAGGATTTAGGGTTGAGAGAAGAGGTTTCCGGTCACCGGGATGGTGGCCGACGAGTTGGAGAAGGGAAGAGGGGGTTCGGCTATGATAGGGAGAGAGAGAGAGAGCTTTAGGGAATAATTCTGTTGTTATTGTTTAACACTAGCTTATGCCTAACACAGAACTAGCATTGGGCCCGGCCGTTGGCCGGTGTTGTGTAAAACTCTAGAAAATGGAGGAAGGATTAATAGCATAATTTGTAGTTAAGTGCCAGACCGTTGGCTGAATTCTTAATAATTTTTTAACATAATTTATTTATGAATTGCATCCTAATTTTATTTAGTTATCCAAAATGACATAAAAGCTGATATGTGGTGAGTTGGGTAAAAGACACAAAAAGAATTAAACTTAGAATGCAAGACATATATTATTCCAAATATGTTAATAATACATCATGAATGTAATCATCAAGACCTATATATATTTGCAGACCTGAGGCACTAATAAAATTATCGAGTTGTTTACAATGGAAGATAAAAAAAAAATCATATTAGGTATTGAGAGATGATGATGTTTATATTCTGCATACGATGTGTACTTTAAACTCTAACTCTGTTTTCATTGTTTCGTTTAAGTTCTTTACTCCTATATTATTTTACCGATCTTTTTTGGGTCTTTTTCTTACCTTGGTTTCATTCCCATTGAAACCCCTCCAAGACCCTTCCAATAGTTACATTTTCTTGAATCTATAACTACTTGCATTTCATAAGAAAAGTGCAAGTTGATTTCCAAATTGGAGAACAAAAGATAAATAGCGGTATTTTTTCTTAATTACATGCAACAAACATGCAATGAAAAAGAAACCATCAAACTATCATTAATACAGTTAAGCCAACCAATCTAAATACAAACTATAATGGCTGCATCCTGTAGTTGGTGTCCTACATATTTGAGTATAAGCTAATAATTGTAAGCAACAAATAATGTTCGTCAGCAAAAGCAATTAAACTACAATCAAGCAACTATTTAGCTAAGAATTGCAATTATCATTTCCTTCGACCAATTCTGATAATAGAAAACAACTTCATCAGGCATAAACCAAAGTTAAGCTATTAAAAGAGACCTGCAATTGAATAACAAAAGAGAGTTATGTACTTTTTAACATCAAATAATAAATGAATATCAATTTATAAGATCTCTACTTCGAACACTTATTCTAATTTTAATTTTAACAATTGATAACCGGGTTGCGATAGAAAATAATTAACTCTCATTTGTGAACAATGAACTGTATTTAAACATTTCGCATGTGCAAGTAATTTTCAAAGCCACAGCTAAGCAAGCACATTCATAGATGATATTTCGGTAATTATTGTTGTTCTTTAGACATACATTTTCTTCTCAAGGTTTGAAGCTCTATATATAGTCTGTTTTACTCTACTACAACAGTTTCATTGTTGAACAATTATTTCAGTTTGAGAAAAGATGAAACCGAGGAAACATTGACATTTATGGATTGAAGCACAATTACAATGGCAAATTAACAATTTTGGGAGGTAAGAAATTAATAAGCTATTCTTCTATGAATAAGTTTGATCCTTTGAAAACCACTAAGAGCAACCGCCCATGAACAATTATCTATCTGTCATATTGAAAATCCACATATGCGTAGCCAACAAATCATTCAAAGAATCTTTTAAAGAAATGTTCTCTCTTAAACCAACCTAAAATATGAAGAAGTTTGATCATTGAAAAACCGCCAAGAGCACAACAGCCCATTAGAAGTTATATTTCGTATTGAAAATCTACATATATCTTACCATCAAATCATTCAAAGGATGTTCTTTTTTTAAGAAATATCATCTCTTAAACCAACCTATACTACCAAAATTCACCACTCATAGCCACCGCCCACCGGTTATATAATAATCTATAAAAGAACCATTTTTATAATAATAGATAATAGCATAAGTTATAATTTAACAATTTTATAAATGTTATCTTCAAATAAAAATAATAAAAATAAAATAATAATAATAATAATGATATTGACAACCAAAGCATCACATACCAATCTATTTTCTCACTTCCATCTCTCTACACACTCCTTTCTCACTTCCATCTTCCAATAGACCAAAACCAAACCAAATTCATGGAGTTGTGGATGAGACTAATAGCATGGATATGCCTCGTCAATTTTCTTTTTTTGTCAAATTTTTTTTTTTTACATTTGGAGACACATTCATTAAATGAATGAAAAGCGAACAAATATTGGGCCAAGACCCTGAGGAAGGAACAAAACAACTTGAAAAGATCCCACAAAAAAAAAAAAACACTTGAAAAGAGCACAGGCCTGAACCCACTACAGTGAAGAGCAAAGCCCACAAAACAGATAGGCTTGAGTGAAGCCCTAGCAACCTAATCGATCCTCCGCACAGGAGAGCAACAGCCGCAAGGAGGATACCCACAAAAACGCCGGCGACGAAACCAATTCCAGGTTATTCAAAAAAGACTAAACCAATTCCACATGAAAAGCAGCAGTCGAAAGGTCAATTTCCTTTTCCTTGTCGAATTTGCAGCCGCAATTTGATTGGAAATAAATAGAATAAGGGTTTGGGAGAAGACGGGTATTCGTCAATTCAACATTGTCGACGACCGGCACACCATTGGAATCCATGAGTACCAATGAGACAACAACAGAGCGGGATGGAGCAGAGAGAAAGCCACAGTGGGAGAGAGGGAGAGCGTCGAAGAAGACCAAGCAAACGACAACAAACACGGCGAAGATTGGAGAAGTTCAGATAGGACGATAATGGGCGATTTGGATTTCGGATTAAGTGTAGAAAAAAATTAGATCGGAGCTGTGGTGAGCAGAGAGGGCGACGGGAGAGATTTCATTTTGGGATTCTGTATGATAAGGATGGTGGGAGTCTCGATTTCCGATTCTGGTTGGGAAGAGAGGCGAGAGAAGGTCGCTGTCCAGAAGGAAAAAAAGCAAGAAAGAGAGAGTTTCTAGATTGACGATAATAACCTCCCGAACTGTGCGGGCACTTTAGGATAGGCTGACGTGGCAAAGGCGGAATGTTTACACTTTACATTGCCTTATAGTAATTTTTAGATATATATAAACCGACTAATTCCCTATAACTACCCAAAGACTTAACCTAACCGATTTAACCCCAATAATTCCCAAAATAGCCGACATAATATAAAACGTCAAATAACAAATAAACCCCCAATTACTCATTGTCTGACAATCTTTTGTGAGCTTTGTATCTGTGCTCTCATCTCTCTAACTTGTATACCAGGGATATCGCGATGCTAGCTGTTTGTTCATGGAAATGCTGATTAACAATGATAACCCAGGAAGCCATTCATCTTATCATGAACCAGTGAAGAGTGATTACTGCCTCTGCCTAGCTATTCATGCACCACGGAAAGGAATCGTGGAGGTGAGCTTTCCATTCATCATCACGGATATACTATCAATCGAGTGGAATTCTTGTAACAGGATTTGAGTTGTATCTATGTGTTGTCTGCTTGTTCGAGTGAGATGCTGAACTGTGATGGGTTTCCTAATTTTGGTGGCGACTCTGTTGATTCAACTAGGTGTGGCAAATGAGAACCGGAGGACGTATTCTGGCGGTTCAGTGTGGGAAAGGGAGTAAAATACTGCAACCCACATACAGGTTTGGATCGGTAGTGGACGACGGCTCTCCGTATGTTCCTCTTGAAGTGTTCTTGTTGAATGGAGAATCTGGTCAGATCTCGGTGTTGAATCCATCACTTCACTAGCTAATGTCTTGAGTTACTCATCTTTTTTTCAACCGTTTTGTTGTTGTGGTAGTTAGCTTTTGATCTATTGAGATTCATTCATTGTTGCCTGTGTCGATGTGATTGGTAATATGCAATATACCAATGGGAACAACACATAATTTTGATGAAGTGTACATAAATAAATGAGCTTGTTCTGCTTTTATTTTCATGCATAAGTGATCAGTGTTGTCATTGTTGCATAGCCATTGGTAGGGTATAGGTGAAGTATATATGAATTTGAGTTTTAGTGGATGGATTAGGGTAGAGTATGAATATTACGTTTAGAAAATGTTCAAATAACTTGAATTGTTGGGAGAAGATTATATTGGATCTTATAACACTCTCTAACAACTCCATTTGATATGATGTGTGTCAAATATCAATTGGATGCCGCGAGGAATGAAGATTACTTATTTCATTAATATAATGTGAAAATTATTTATACAAGAAGTGATACACGAAGCTTGTGTTACATAGAATACAGGATACATGAAGAAGAAATAATTGTATGCTAGACTCAAGGTGAACGAGTATGTCCAATTGAATTGTAGACTTGTAGTTAGGGCTAGAAATGAGCCGAGCTACTCGCGAGCAACTCGAGACTCAAATCGGGAAAAATTCGTTCGAAACTCGACTCGTTTACTAACGAGCCAAGTTTGAGCTTAGTTTTGTTCAGCTCGCGAGCTAGCTCGACTCGGTAGCTTGTTGAGCTCAACTCGTAAGTTGGCTCATTTAGAGCTCATGAGATGTCTCAACATTGTGGCTTGAGGGCCAACTTGATCATCGACTTATGGACGAATCGATCTAATTTGAACTTTCATAATTCATAGGATTGTTAAATTTATATATCTCACATCATGTGAAGTTTAACATGTTGAACATGTAAGAAAATATGCCTTATTTTTAATTCTATAAAGAAATTATGTACAAAATTGTTTCGATACCATGAAATAATTAACATGATTGGAACTAGTTAAAATTTATTAACTAAACAATATGACACCTACAAATTACAATATAAGATTAATTAATGTTGAACATTTGATTTTTTTTTTTATCGTTACATCAATCACATGTACCATACATGTACATGGGCGCTGGGCCGTGCTTGGGCCGGCACGGCACGGGCACGCTTCGGGCCCATTTATTTCGTGCCGTGCTTGGCACGGCCCGTCAGTTTTCGTGTCGTGCCATGCAAGCCCATTTGTCAACTTTGCTAGGCCCGGCCTAGGCCCGGGCACGGTTTGAAATCGTGCCGTGCCTATTCGTGCTCGTGCCATGCTCGTATTCGTGTTCAATGAAAAGGACGAAAACAAAAGAGAGAATGAAAAAGAAAGTGAAAATTGGACGGGGGAAGATAGTATTAACCGATAATGTTTGAGAAAAGTAACAAATAGGGGGGAAAAGAAAATTAAAAGTACAGCGAGCGTGATTTGGCTTTGTTTAATTCTTTGTCCATTTTTACTTATGTTAGTAATTACGTATATATCTGTATGATACTTCTAACAACAACAAATAATTATTTTTCTACTTGTGTTTTGTAATATTTGAACCTATAATTCTTTTTATACTTATTTTATATCAAATAAATATTATTTTCGTGCCATGTCCGTTCTTATACTCAATAAAGTCTCGAAAATATTAGGCCCGACACGGCCCACTTATATACCTTGCCCGTGCTCGTGCCCGTGCCCATGAAGTTTAGGCCCGGCACGGCCCATAAATTATTCGTGCTCGTGCCAGACTGGCCCATTTATTTCGTGCTCGTGTCGTGCTCTAACCGTGCCGTGCCGTGCTAGCCCGTGGGCGGCACGGCCCGGTGCCCACGTACAACCATACACGACATACAAAATAAATATATCAAATACGATATAAAAATTTAGTAAACAAGCCTAGCTCGAACTCGATTTAACTCGGCTCGTTAATAAATGGCTCGCGCTCAACTCATTTGGTAACGAATCAATCTCAACCTGGGATAAAACTAGACTCATTTGCAGTTCTACTTGTAGTCCATTGTCCTTTTGAGATGCAATGTTGACTGAATCGTTGGTCATCCGTGTCTGCTTTGATTCGATTTCCAATCTTTCATATAAACCAACAAATCATGTCAAAATCGATACCAGAATCTAGGATGGAAAACTTTGGCCACTCACTTAACGGTTTTTGGTAAGCGAAGTCATTAAATAAAGAAATCTAGAGAAAGAAAAATAGAGACGACTTCATAGTTCATATGATACGAGTGCCTTCAAAATTGGGCATCCCCTTAAGATCCATGTTAAGGAAAATAGCTACATACATACAACTAATATATATAAACAACTTATAGTACGCATAAACTATGATGTACATAATAATATGATAATATATGTATGTCTTCATATTTATTAGTTGTATATTGTCCTAATTCGACAAATTAAAACGTATGATTATTATTTTTAATTAAATTGATCTTATAATTTATCGTTATAAGAACAAGATCTGAAATTTACTTATAAGAAGTTAGAATATAATATCATTTAAAAAATTCTAGTTAATTCATAATGTAAATAAATAAGATACGATAAATTTTGAGGCTCGATCTTCTTCCTCTTCGCCTTTCTTAAAAAAAAAATTATGTTGGGAGAAGAGCCCAAGACCGCACATTACTAATATTCAAAATTCTCTTCAATTCCCTCAACAACGTACACACGAGGAGTTGTCAAAATTAGCTTTTTCATCAATTAATCAACACTACAAAAACCAGCCATCTCCAAATTCAACACACACCAGGAAATTAAACCCATCCATCAAGAAAAAGAAAGAAAGAAAGAAAGATCATATTGGCTCCTCCTTCTTCACAATTTCTTTCTTTCTTTTCTTTTGTTTTCATGGGAGATTATAATTCCTAAAAAACAACGAAAGAAAGAAAAAAAAACCCACAAGAGGAAAAAAAAAAAAACAATGAAGAGGAAGAGCGAGCTGCGGCCACAGGCATTGTTCAAGCTCATCAACGGCGGCGGTCAGAAAAGATTCCAGAGCTTCGTCCTGTACGTCCTCCTCTTCGGCTGCGGGCTGGCCTTTGGCGTCACCGTCTGCCTCTACCTCCGCGACATCTCCTTCTACCTCCGCCTCTACCAATTCTCCGCCAACAACCCTCCGCCCACCAAACTCTCCTCCTCCTCCGCCGCCGTCATCATCCCCTCCTCCTCCTCCTCCACCACGCCGCTCTTCCCCAAAGACGAGCCCGACGCGGCGGAGAAAGAAACATCAACGTCGTTTTCGCTGGTGTCGCCGTTGAGACCCTTTTTACCGTCGTTCCTGACGCAGTCGAGGACGAGCATGGGGGACAAGATGGTCGACGCGGCGGCGGAGGAAGAAGGGAGGAGGAGGAAGATAAAGTGCACGGTGTGCCACGAGATGAACGACGAGGAGCTGCTGTGGAGGGCTTCGATGGTGCCGAGGATCGTGTCGGTGCCGTTCCGGCGGGTGCCGAAGGTGGCGTTCATGTTCCTGACGAGAGGGGCGCTCCCCCTGGCGCCGCTGTGGGAGGTGTTCTTCAGAGGGCATGAAGGGTTGTATTCTATTTACGTTCACAACCTGCCTAATTACAACGACACCGATCCCCTCGACTCTGTTTTCTACGGCCGGAGGATCCCCAGCAAGGTCGGTTCTTCTCTTTCTTTTTTTCTTCCTTTCCTTTCCTAGTTTCCTTTCCTTTCCCTCTCCCTCTCTATATCTCTCTCTCACATACACACACATTCGTTCATGATCGTTTGAGCAAATGGTTTGAACCGCTATTAGAAGTGGTCTGGCTTTAATTGTTGGTTGGGCCCACTTACTATAACAATATTTGTATTTATTGATGGCAATGGGGCGGGCGAATACCTCTATACTCATAATATCATCTCAGCATCACCTATGAGTCAGGTCGGGTATTGCGTGTACACGAGTTGGGGCAGGTCGACTTTATTTTTAATGACAGAAACAAATGAAAAACATTTTATAAAATTGAAAAAAGAGAGATAATATGTAGATTAATTGAGTGAAATTAGTCGAAAGATGAACTCTTTCGTGCACTTATCTACAGTATCGTTGAGTGAAAAATTTATGGAGGAATGCTTACACTTATTTTAAGTATCATTGGGGGGTGAAATTTTGGTTAAAGATAAGTAAAAGAAGAAGAAATACTATAAATACTATGGAAAATCAAGAATGAACGCGGGTCAAGAACGAGGTGGGACAGGATGAAAGTAGTACCCATACTCCGTCCCACACTACTATAGGACGAGTATTACCAATCCCGAGCACCTGTCAGTTCGGGTAATAACACATGAGATGGGTTCAAATTGTCATCACTATTAATATAGTATAGTAGTAACGAAACATAATTTTTTATGCATAATTTTACATATTTTATTCAAAGTAGAGCCACGCTACCATCCCTTCTGATTTCAACCTGACTCCGCCCCTGCTGCATATCATATTAGATTGTGTATGATACCAGATAATCGGGGACAATCCATTTTTGTGATATGATGATGTTATATGTTTTTTTTTTCCTATCTTTTCTGACATTTGATGACTTCCGTGTTTGTTTTTGGTAACACTATAGGAGGTTGGTTGGGGTCAACCGTCAATGATCGAAGCCGAGCGTCGACTGGTCGCCAACGCTCTCCTCGACTTCGCCAACCAACGGTTCGTCCTCTTATCAGAAGCATGCATCCCTATCTTCAACTTCACAACGGTCTACAACTACCTCATCAAGTCAACCCACACCTTCGTGGAGGTCTACGACCTCCAAGGCCCAGTGGGCCGAGGACGCTACAACCCATGGATGAAGCCCCAGATCCAGCTGGACCAGTGGCGGAAGGGCTCACAGTGGTTCGAGCTGGACCGAAAGCTGGCCATCGAGATGGTGTCGGACCAGACTTACTTCCCCGTCTTCCAGCTCCACTGCACCGGCCTCTGCTACGGCGACGAGCACTACCTCCCTACCTTCGTCCACATTAGGTTCGGCCACCGGAACTCCAACCGCACGCTGACATGGACCGACTGGTCCAAGGGTGGTCCCCACCCGAGCAGCTTCTCCGACCAGGACGTCACACCGCAGCTGCTGGAGGGGATGAGGAACGGCAGCCATTGCGTCTATAATGGGAGACAAACCAGTTATTGCTATATGTTTGCCAGGAAGTTTAACTCGAATGCATTGGGTAGCTTGTTGAGAGTTGCACCGCGCGTCATGCACTTTTAGGCCCGGATCGAGGAGCGCTCCAGCAGAGGGAGATTTGTTTGATTGTAATTTGTAAATATTACAATGTGTTTGATTTGGTAATAGGTTTGATCATATTTGACTAGTGACCACAATATTTTGAGGTGACAATTATGTAGTATAGATGTGAATATGGTTGTTAATTTCAAAATTAACAAAATTGATAACACTAAAGTCTTTTCCCCTCCGCTTTTTCGTTTGTTGTTATTTTTTTTAATATGAGATAATATGTAGTGAAATTTTTGCTCTAAGCCTTGAAAGATGTCTACATAAGTTGCTTAGAATATACTAGTCATAAGAGAAATTTTGATAGTTATTGTGTGGGATGAAAATTAATCAAATTAGAAGTTAATAAATTAATAACGTTCATAAAAATGCGCAATAGGTGACATCCCAAAGGGAATGGATCAGGTCAGTAACCTTATGGTGAGTAACTATGAGTAACCCGCTCACATCAGCATGACATCAGCATCCTCTCTCTCCTGGAAAGCCTTTAATTTTCCCCTCCTTAATCTTTGACGGACGATTTCTCACTCGTTTTAAGTCGAAATTTAATTTTTTTTGCACAGTTAGATCAGATTAATTGTGCTCTTCAAAATGATATCCACTTTGATATATTTTTCGAACAAAAAAAATTGAGTCATTTTATACCAGTCTATACCATATGGTATTGACTGGTATTGAAATAAGAGCATACCTATGGTTTGAAAAGCGTACCATGGTGGTATGGCACAAACCAAGACTGTAGGATGATTGAATACATGATAGTAGAAGTATATTAATTGTCATTTACGACTTTTAACATTGTATACCATAAAATACCATAAAATACCATCCCGTACCATGGTGGTATTGTATGGTATTGTGTGGTATTTTTTGGTCTTATAATTTGTTCACCCAGAAATTTGTAGATCAAATAAATCATGATGAACTCGTCCCTGCTGTGCAAACGTTTTCAAAAACGAATGAAAAACGAAGAAAATACCATATGGTATGCAGTTGGTACCGAAAGGCCATAATTTTTTTTTCCTCAAAAAATATTGAAAATTGATCTCATTTTGTAGAGCACGATGAACTCGTTCCATCTGTGCAAAAAAAAATTAAAATCCGAGTTAAAACGAAAAAGATATGAGTCAATTAAGAAAACTAGTGAAAATAAAAATGGTATTTAATTCTCCATACTTAGATCTGGATTTTCTAAATGAAGGGTCCAGATTTGGTTATTGGTGGGTGCATAACCATGGGTTATGCACCCTATCTTGAGCCCATCCCAAATATGTTGTAGGAGGTAGAACAAGAGGATTTTAGACATGCGAATCAAAATGACGCTGTAAATCAATTGGAGGCGATTTTAAGTCAGTCAACTATAATAGATAAGAAACTCTGGTTCAAGCCTCAAAGAGTAAGTTAAATAATATAATTCAAGTTGTTTAAATTAAGTCATTTAATTACATCATTGAATTATGCTATATATGTACTTAAGTCACTCTTGTTCGTTTTATCTTTCATTTAAGTTTAAGTTATCTTATGTATGTTCAACTTTTAATTTCACTAAGCATGGCATGTCATGATTCATAAGTAATTATGTTTTAGATAGTGGAGAAGGCAAGTTACATTTAAATAAGCCAACTAATATTTGAGTTTTTTCCAATTCTAGCACCATTAAAAAAAAAATTACAAAACTAGCACCCAAATAAAAATATTTACAATTGTAGCACCTTTTTCTAACGAAACGCATCCCTAAGGTGCGTTTTATTGATGAACCACATCTTTCAGGTGCGTTTCATGTGTAAACCGCACCTTAGAGGTGCGTTTCGTGCCACGTCAGAACGCGAACCGCAGTGCCAAGGTGCGGTGTGCTTTCTCTGCGGAACGGTCTTCAAGACCGTTGGATGGAGGAGCGATCGGACGGCGGACCGCGCGCCAGCAGAGCGATCCGCGCCATGGATCGAGGACCGCACCTGCAAGGAGCGGTCAGCGCCTCGTGACTCGAAAACCGCATCGGAAGGGAGCGGTTTCTGCAAGGGGAAAATTATAAGAACGCCCCTTGAGGGTGCGGTCTGATGGGTATAAATACCCCCCTTTCCCTCTCATTTCTTCACACCACAACCCATTCTTCCTTCTCTCTCTAGATTTTATCTCTCTAAACCCTCCCCTCCCAAAAGCCTAGGAAATAGAAGTCTGTTGGTTGCGGCTAAGTCCGATCTGCCATCAGAAAATATTTCTTAGGTTTTTTCCTCAAAACCCGCCGAGCCGAGCCGAAGCTCTGTCCGAATTGCGCCGAAAAAATGGCCGATTGGTGGCAAGGAGAGGGAGTTTATGTTGATGAATTTCAAGCAGTATGTACTCATTATTCTGGTTTAGTTTTTGTTGTTGTTATAAGTTTTTTAATTAATCTATGTACTAACCTCGTTGTTATTTTCTCGTAGGTTGGGGAGGACGTCGATATATACAACCAACGGTATTATCTCGAGCAAGGACCGTTGGATCCAACCGACTTGTACGACCAACCCAACCATCGGTCAAGGGATGCTTGGAACGCTCACCCGGTACATACAATTCTTCACCATTTGTCCTTCTTTTATTTTGTTAATGTGCCTAGTGTAATATAAAATAAATTTATGTTGATTTTCTAATCGTGTTGGCGGTTTTCAATAATTTAATCGAATATATAGCGCCACTTACTTCGACTCTTTATAAAGAGATGCACGTCTAAGGAAATGGGGTTTTAAGCGATTATCATATCCTCCCATTACCTGGAAAATCGGGTATTAAGAGATCCTCGGATCCCCCCTTTTTCTGTCAAAAAGACTGCGTTTCTAAGAAGATGTATACCTCTTCTAAGAGTCTAACGAGTGTTGCTTTGTATTCGATTAAATTATTTAAAACAACCAATACGATTAAATTATTTACCAAACAACCAATACGATTTATTTTTATGTGCACAAAAAGAATTTTATTAATTTCAAACATTTGAATATGTATGTTTCTATTTAAATTATTATTCATTAACAATGTTATTTATGTTAATTAATTTAGTATGTTTGTTTTACGATAATATGGATGTACCTCTTTAAATTATTATTCATTGACAATGTTATTATGTTAATTAATTTAGGACGTTTGTTTTATGATAATATGAAATGTCTTTTTATGATAATAAAATTCTGCTTGATGTCGCATAATTTAATTTAATTAATTTAGTTCTAAGAAAAAAAAACCCTTACTAATATATAATAATTAACGTGTAAATTTTTGCTAGGAGGCACAAACAATAATCCGCTACAGGGGTACCACCAATGTGCTCCCATTCCACCCAGCTATCTTGCCCTTTCTCAAAAGGGCACGGTTAGACTCGATTAGGCATTTTAACGGCATCCAAATTGATCACCAACTCATCACCGCATTAGCCGAGAGATGGAGAAAGGAGACCCATTGTTTCAACTTTGGATCCAAGCCTAAGATGGAAGCTCTAATGTCGGCGTGCCGATCAGAGATTATTGTCAGGTTCGTCCTCCTAGTGACGTGGAGCTGAAGTTGTCGAAAAAACCATCCATATCTATCAGCATTCTCTCCCTCTACAATGGCGAAGGCTAAAGGAAAGACTTATCTATTTGCATCCGCCCCACTGGCAATCAGGAGAGTGCCCTTGTACTTGCCGGTAAGGAATGTACCATCCACAGTAATCACAGGGATACAAAAGCCAAAACCATCAATAGATGGCTTGAATGCCCAAAACAGTCGGCGGAAATGGCGTTCGTTACCTGGCTCTGGGGGTTGTATCTCTTCATCTTGGTATCGAGGGGAGAACACAGTGCCAGGGTTAGACGCCTCCAATGCCAGTATTAACCTGGGAAGGAATGCATATGATTCTTCCCAATCACCAAAGACGGCGGCCAGAGCTTTCTGCTTTCCATGCCACGCTTTCTTATAGTTAATCATATAACCATAACGACTTGCAATGTCAGCGATTATGACTTTCACCTTCAGATCAGGTTCAGCCTCAATCAGATGCCTGATAGCCGCAGCAACCACCCTGGATTTCAACTGTCGATGGCCTTGGGAAGTTATGGATGACACACATGTGTGTGTGTTCACCGCACGGGATATGACCCAGTGGCCGTGTCTCTTGCTGTTGATGGCCCGAATCCTAACATTGCACCCCTCGTGATGATTATGGCATCTGACTATGAGCCTTTTGGTGTTGGAATGAGTTGTGTGCCATTCAAAATGCCGAGTCATTGCTTCAGTCTCAATGGCGTGCCGCACATCCTTCTTCGAGCCAAATTGTTGGCCCTTCGTAAACCCAGTGAGTGGGCCCCATATTGGGACCTCTGGCGGCTCCATGTCACTGTCGACCATCCAATTGTCATCTGGAATGTGATTGTAGTAGGGGACTGGTACACGGTCAGGAGCCACATCATGATCATTATCTGAATCTGACTCTGGTCCTGAATCATCAGCACCTTCAAGAGGGTCGGAGCTGTCTGCACTGACGTTGTTCTCTCCTTCTTCATCGGAGGGGTCGCTGACTGGTGCTGGCATGGCAGCTTCCATCTCATCCAGTTCATGAAAGGCACCTTCATCAGCTCCATAATGGTAGTTGTGAAAACTACCGCTGCCTGATTGGAAGTTGTACTGGGGTTGGTGGCCGAGGTCCGGTTGAACTTCTTCTTCATATGACGGGAAAGATTGATGGTGGCCTTCACCTTGCCCTCCATCTTGGTACTGAAAATAGGAATGAGGATCATGGTAACTTTGGTAGGGATGATCGCCATATAATTCACCTCCACCATGGATACCAGATGTTTGACCGTGTCCAGAATGACCTCCAACACCAACGGCTGGCTCGGTGTAAACGAACATCTCGGCTTTGGCCAATTTGTCGGACCTCAAGAATTCGAGCATGGAATCTACTTCATCTTGAGTGGTTATGGTATATTCCTCATGCCACAATGACCCACTTTCTCTGTTTGGATATCGGTACACCATTCGATCTACTCTTCTCGTGCCATCCATGCAAGTAACGTTAGTGCATATTTGATGGAGGTCTTCAAGCTTCGGTCTGGTACCGACCGTTATTTTCTGAAAATTGCCACCGACGTAGGTGGCCCCCTTTCCGGTCTCTTCTGTGTAACCATTCCACCGTAAGCCAAGCGTGAAATGACGGAATGCCATCTGCACACAAAAAAACCGTAGTTCAGTTAATATCATAAAAATCACAAATCACAAATAACAATAAAAAGTAACACAAAATAAACTTACGAGTTAATGTTAATGGCAAAAACACTAAAGAAATATAGGAATACAACAGAAAAATGAAAAGAGAGAAGGAGAGGTGTGAAGAGTAGAGGTTTTCCGGCAGTCTTATATAGGGAAAAAAATGAGGAAAGGTGCGGTTTTAGTCTGCCATGCAGCCCTACGTCCATAATTCTCTGCATGGGTTTGTCGGGTGTCGGAAAATTATTGACACACAGACCGCACTTGGGGGGTGCGGTCTGTGTGGCTAAACCGCACCTTAGAGATGCGGTTTGGTTTTGGAGGAACAAACCGCATCTCTAAGGTGTGGTTTAGCTAGGTCAGGCCAAAACCGCACCTCGGCCATGCGGTTTGTGTAGGGCATACATGAAACCGCATGGCCAAGATGCGGTTTCGGCCCAGGAAAATGGACCGCACCCTAGAGGTGCGGTTTATGTATAAAACGCACCTGGAGGGTGCGGTTTATATGTAAAACGCACCTCTAAGGTGCGGTCCATAAAAAAGGGTGCTAGTTTTGTAAATATTTTCGGAAGGGTGCTAGTTTTGTAAATTTTTTTTAAAAGGTGCTATTTCTGGAAAAAAAACTCCTAATATTTTCCCATTGTGCAAAAGATCAGTAAGGCAAGAACACTTTTTTTAGAGAGAAATAAGTGAGGCAAGAACACTTTATTGAATCAGTAAGAAATAATATTATGTTTTAACCCTCGCTTAACAAGTCACACAAGATCACCTCACTTCTCATAGCAAGGGAGCCTATTATGTAAAGAACCTCACTCTTGGGTAGTAAGCATGTTATGAACCCCACTCTAAAGAGATTACTTTTAAGAATGTTAGTAGCCCACAAAGTGGGGTATCTTGTTTCTCATTTGAGGAAACCCAATTATAAGCAAATTGGTAATCCGACTATATACTAGTTAAGTTGGGAGCGATGTCCCATTTCCGAAAATTAATAAGAAACTTATTTCACGTAAACGAATAAGCTTTTAACCCATGAACGTGTGCATTTATTAATATGTTGGATTATTTCCTTGTCATGTGAAAATGAACCTAGGATTAGGACTGATCCCACACACAAACTCGGGATTTGAAGGAGCACCAGAAACATATCACATATTCAATAGTTCATCACAAGGATTATTGACTCTAGTGACTCCAGAAGCATTTTTACCTTGATATTTATAACATCGACTATTGTAAGCTTAGGTCTGACTGTATTTAAGTTGATTTTTCTTGCAATAATAGGTAAATGGGTCCACTAATGAAGATATTACATGGACTTTAAAGCATTGTCCATGAAACCATACCGAAGATCGTATTGGAAAAGTTAGTTGTAGGATATTTTATGACAAAATTGTGGTTTAACAGTAGTTCAACCGTTAGTACCGTTAAATACCGCCTACCATATTAGCCTCCGTTACTGGTATTTCGTGGTTGAATCGCCGGTACGGTTTCATGGACCGTGCTTTAAAGTCTAAACACATGAAATAAAAAATTATTCTCAAAGTAGTCACTCATACTTGAGTCTTTATATATTTGAGGTTAGTCAAATTGAACTTACACACTTAGTTGCATACTTTTGTAATGCTTCTTGACCCTTAGTTGAATGCATAGTAAAACAGAATTGGGTATGTATAAGTGTGACAGTGGTTTGGCTTATGCAACATAGGAAAATCTTTTGTTTATCATTGGCCACCCACATAATTGTATGTTCGAATCGCATGCTCCCGCCGCTAAATATCCATGGGGCAAAACTAGTGCACGTACACGCCAAAGGCGAAACTAGTGGTTCAACCATTTCATACCGTTAAAAATCATCTATCAGTAAGATATTTTTATGGTCAAACCGCCAATAGGATATGGTTTCACAAACACTAGTACATACTTGCCAAAGGTCATTGTCATATAGAAGAAAAACATCACTCTCCAATATTCATCGGTTAGTAAACAAGCATAGCTTCTCGTCTTTCAATCACTGAAGCACCACACCGCAGAATGCAGGGCCAATTTCCTCTCTTCCAAAAAAATAAATAGAATCTTACACTTGCAACACGGAGAAAATAACGTAAAATTTGAAAAGGTTGGACACAATTGAACATTCCCTAGCTAATAATGCACAAGTTAGCATCTTGAAAGGCAATTGTCTGAAACCTTATAGCCATCTTTCCTTTAATATCTCCCTGAGCTATCCTCCAAATCATGAACACGGCTCAAGTTCCTAATTGGTTACCCTAACATATAAATTGCTCACCTGCATCATAACAGCGCTTTTGAGTTGCAATTTTTCATCTTCTTCCACTTCCAACATGGTAACAATCCTAGATAGACCTTAAAATAGTCCCAAAAGAATTGGAGGCATTTACATACCTAGTTAAAAACAGAGGGCGCATTGATCCTAGTGCATGATAACTTCTTATTCACTCTCATCATCATCTGAACTCTCTGAGCTTGAGCTTGAATATTTTACCTGTCTCTCTGCAATTGCAGGCATCAACTTTGAACGTGGATCGGTTGGAAGAGGAGGTTTGCTTTGTGTATTAGTGGAAGTTGATGATGCAGTAGAACTCTCTTTTTTAAGTGCTTTGCTGGCTGACTTTTTTTGTGTTGCCCCTACTTCCTTGCACACCTTGTCCAACATCACTAAGAAGTCTCGTACAATGGTGAACAATCGCAACCCTTCGTCCCTGCCTGAATTGCCATGGAAATAATCACCGGTGTTCTTTACCAAAACTGTTATTCTCTTTTCTTCCTCAAGCAATGACACAACTTCGCCCTCGGAGCTCTGCACGAAACTCTTCAGCACGTCATGAAACCCACTATCCTCGTCCAAATCCTTCATTTCTTTGTTCAAGAACTCCTTAGTTTTCAATTGTGCATGACCAAGTTTAGATACAGTTCCTGTCAATCCGTCAGCATCAATAGCTGCTGCTTTCTTGACATTTTCCAGGTCACTGCTCAAACGAGACACCACTTGAAGACCAAGGGCGCGATAGTGATCCTCTGTTTCTGGAGAAATCTCCTCAAGGAGCTCTTCTGTTTTTACACTCGAGAAGCTCATGCTCTCTTTCCTTGCACGGGCAGCTCGAACTCCTTCAGAACGAACCATCTCTTGGACCACAAAATGCAACAGTGTGGTCTTGCCATCAGCTCCCTTAACATCTGATAGTTTCAAAAGAGTGTCAAGCTTGAATGCTTGTGCACTACCACGAAAGGTGCCATCGTTCATCCGGTTTCCAGTTTTCAGGACAGCTTCTAGAAGCTTGAGGAACAACCGGCTGTTCCTCACTTCTTTAGAAGCAACCTATGAACCCAAAAGACAAATAAATAGAGAGGAATCGAAAAATCATTATGGATGCAACAATCACATATTAGTAGTAAGGAGAATTTAAATGTGTTAAACCTAACCATGCCTCTACATGATTTATACCCAAAAGTAGCACGCATATGGAGACATCCATGTAAATGGGCGTATCAACACTTCTTTACATGTGCATGCTCATCTACTTAGTAACATTCAAACACTTCACTAGGACCATGGACCCGGAAAATAAAAAAAATCCTCCACATAAGTTAGGACTTTTTGCCAAACTACTAAAAACTTCAACTAATCCAAACTGTCATTTTACTTGTATCAACCTAGTCAATCGAGAGACAATTAGCGTTAGAGAAATCACCTAGAGTGCTACCAGAATGATCATGATAGGCTGTCATTATCTCGATAAGAACATATTTCCACACTTATATCAAGAACTTAAGTTTACAAACTCCTATTTTCACAAAATGATTGGCTCTAAAATCCAACACTACCTCTAAAGTGTGGAAGGATTCCATGGCATTAGCAATCTCTTCCTCCAGAGTGCCCATGAAAAGCAGTGCCTCCATACGATGAAAAGAAAAAGGGATATCAACCAATGCTTTCATGAATCGCTCAGCAGGCCCTAGTTGAGAAAGTTCACCACTGAACAACCTAAGTTTAAGTTCCTCGTCTGATGTGGGTGCCATCTTCAATAAAGTCTGAAGAAGCTCAGCAGGAAGCTCATTTCCTGATTAAGCAAACACAAAGTATAACGATTATCTATCAACAAAAAAGATAAAATTTGCAACATTTGACACACCACAATACTTCAAATAAAATTATAACATAGGATAAACTATCAAACACAAGTAATGAAATATTGCAGTTGTGTGACAAAAAAATATATGTGCTCATTAAGGGAAAATTCATGTGATACAATAAAATCATATAAAATTTCAGTCCAACCCTACCCCCTTGCCCAGAATGGTTGCAAGATGATCACCTTCAAGCAACGCATCACAAACTTCTTCCGTAGTAACATTCAAAGCGCGAAGTAGAATTGATAAGTTTTGAGCCTTTTTGGGTTCCAAAATTTGAATAAACTGTGAAGCAGGTTCTTGCGAAGAGTCTTTTTTCCGCTCAACTTTGCCTTTCTCGGGTGGTGTGTATCCAAATAAATTCTCTATCATCTCCTCATTGAACCTACAATAGTAATAGCAATATGATGATGCAACCGTAAGGTAATGAGCAAATGAGCGGTATCAAAAAGTAGAAGGGGGAAAAAGAAAAAAGGAGATTGCAACTCACTGGAAAGATCCTGATTTTATTTGATGCCACACCATTGCCTGATCTGGTGTAGCAGAAACTTTGTCCCAGAAGAATGGCTTCAATTTGGCTTTACTATCATCTCCCTCCGGACCTCTCATACCAGGAGCTCTAGGAATTTTTGGGCCCGCTGGCATGGGTGCACGGGGTGGTCCTGGAGCACCTTTTGAAGGCGGTGCAGGAGGTGGAGGCCCAGGTTTGGACCGACGAGCAGGAGGTGGTGGAGGGGGAGGTCCTGGAGGTGGAGGAGCCGCATTGACAGAAGAAGCTTTTGTCGATGGAGGTGCAGGTGGAGGTGGGGCAGGAGGAGGTGGTGGGGCAGCTTTGGCATGAGGTCTTCGAAAAGAAGGAGGTTCAGGTGGAAGAGGGATTGTTTTCCCTGGGGGAGGCTTCAATGGAGGCATACCAACTTTCCTTCCTGGAGGAGGTGGTAGCAAACCGTTACCCGTAACAGAGGTTCCAATAGATTCTGACGAGTTAGAGGCACCGCTAACGCCATCCATCGAACCAATGACAACATCATCAGAGAGGATGTTGCCATCTATAGATGAATTCTTTCTGTGATGGTTTGATTTACTGGCTAGAGATTGAGAACCAAGCTTGTCTTCTTTGAAAGAACTTCCTAAACTAAAAGACTTGTATGAAGAGGCTGAAGTGAAACACAATTTCAAAATTAGTATATAACTAATATTAATGGTAATGGAATACATAACAACATATGAGAATATACATACTAGCAGAGTCGCTGAGGCTCAGACTAAGGAGGGGCTTCTCGTCATTTAGCCCAGGGTCAGAGCCCATTCCAAATACTTTTAGACAACAAAAGAATAACAGTGCAGCAAATATTGATGTGGATGCAGCAGTTACAACCACTGCAATAATAAGTTTCTGATCATTGTTTTCTTCTGGCTCCTCCTCCTCACCTTCTTCAGTTTCCGTTTCATCGGATGAAGTTTCAGCATGAATTTTTCTTGAAGTTGGCTTTGGTGTGGAAGATCCTGTTGGCTGTTGTGCTGTATTTTCATGCCAATTCCTGACAGGAATCGATGACTTAAAAAATAAGGAGTTGAGATGCTTGAGATATGGCATAAAAGACTCACGTTCCTCCTCACTAGAGATACCATATAAAAGATTGTTCTTTCTTATACAATTTAGAAGAACTTGTCTCAATTGTGGGGGTGGGGACCTAAACAATTGCTGCATATTTTGTTTTGACAATGGCCATCCCTTTGAATCGAGCTCATTGGGTTTTTCAGTGGTTTCCTTAAGGAAACATGAGTTGAGATCTTCACCATCCTCTTTCGAATGGATCAAATCTATCTTGCAAGTGTCCCATAGTAGTTTTGCCTGTAACACAATAACACATGTTCAGGTTTGAGACATTTGAAATATTGATGGAAATTTTCATATGCAAGAAAGTGTTACATGAAGAGAGAATGGAAGGATAGAAACAAGAATTTCTCCTTACCAAAGGCTCATCCACCTCCTCCGTTATCGGGTTGAACAATTTGCTGAGAAATAATCCCTCCGCAACATCTCTTTGTTCTAAGCTCCGTACAGCAGAAACGCATAGCAGGAAGACCAGAAGCAACGAAAATCTTGAATTCACATGAACAATTAGTTGTTGAATCCGCATCGTAATCTTGCACTCTCCTTCTCATTTCCTCCAAAGGATAAACCCCTCAATCCAGAAGATGCAAAAACCCTACCACATCCTTCTCGTCGGAAAACCACCCAGCAAAGTTTTCTGATTCGCCACACCACCCTTAAAGCTGTACCATTGCCAATGAAGAGGAAACTGAAAAATATCCTCAAGAAGAATCTCTAGCATGTAACTAAAGCTTGAGTTGATCAACAACAACAACAAAAACCCCAAAAGATCTTCGTCCACTCCGAGCATAACCCACCAAGGAAATTGACGAATGAGCTCTAGGAAATGGAAATTGTGATGAGAAGGGAACTCTACAAAAGACCTGTCAAAATCGAAATTTGAACCCTTTTCTTTTTTTACCAGTGAAATTTGAACCCTTCAAAATTGTAAGACGTTCAAACTTCAAAAAGGGTAAAATTCGATCATGACCAATTTCGATGGAAGGGAGGTAGATATAGCACTTTACAAGAGCATTATCATAATTGCAATTTACAACAAACGTTGGAATCCATTCCTGCAAAATGGTGTCGGACCACTAAAACGCGATGAAATAATAATAATAATAATCATGTTCTTCCTGGAGCTTGTAACAGGGGAGGGGGGGGAGAAGAAGAAAGGAAAAAAAGAAGAAAAAGAAAAGAAAATTTTCCCCTTTCTTCTTTTTCTTTGGTAATCCCCCTTTCTTCTTTAGCAAATGTCCCCCAATTCTCTTCCTCAAACTTGAAAGCTTTTGATTTCTATAGGAAGAGAGAGAAAGATGAAGGCAACGAGATATTAGGGGGAGAAGAATGTGGAGAAGGATGATTACAATGAAAATTCATACTAGAAAAGAAAGAAGAAAAGTTAACGGTTCAATCGGATACAATGAAAATTCCATCCTTTTTTCCCCTTGCTTGATAAGTCCAATTACAAGATTTTGGATCATCAAACGTCGGAAAGCAAACCCAAGGTTAACGAGAAACTTAGTGATAATATTTATTATAATTAATAGTAAAGACAAATTAAAGCTAGTATAAACTATATAGTATGATTACTTAAAAATAAAGTTTATAATATTTTATAGTATTAGTGTTTATGTTTACAAAATAAAAAAATTATGGTACAAACTGAACTTGTACATTTAACGTTATGGTACAAATCAAGTTTGTTTCTATACTTTATTCTACAAAGAAAAAGTGTTGATGCCAAGCTCTGAGGAGTCTGCTTCAATGTGTTTGAGGTTCGGTGAGCACCGACTTCTCGGCCAACGTCCGCCACCAGCCTTCGAGATGGACACCTGCATAAAAAAAGGACCCGCCGGCGGTGGTCGGCTGGGACCTTCTCCAAAGCTCAAATAAGTATTTGGAAATAACCGGGAGTGGCATATTGAGCCGGCTCTAGGGAGAAAGAAAGATAAATTTCGGGGTTGGAAGTTTCCAATCCGTCGAGAAGAAGTTCGTCGGGAGTTCCCCTTTTCTGATTTCGTTCAGAGAAAGTGAGTTCTCTAGATTTGAGATGGATTGCCGAGAAAACATAAATGAACAACCTATTTATAGGCATTTCTTGTTCTTGAAGTGGGTGGCATGACTTTGATGGATAAATAATGCATACAAAGATTGATTGTTGGTTTAATCAATATTTACCTCTTTAACTTCTTGTTACGTGTGAGGAAAGTGCTTATAATGTAAAGATGAGTGGACAATAGGAGGATCCAGCTCATACATAGCCTCTCCACGTATAAGAGGAATAGAGGGTAAGTCGATTGTGTTCTTGGTGGGTAAATTACTACTAGTAATAATGATGTATTGTATGATGTCAGTCGAATATTGGGTCCATCAAAAAGGGCAATGTATATATTGTATCCAAACCTTTTTCCGATTCTTTTATATTATCCAAAGCTATCGAAATACTAAGAATTTGCCAAATGTTAACTTCCAGTTAGCAATTTTGTTAGTAATATTGACTTGGCAACATGATACTGACTTGGAAGAGACACGTGAAGGCCAACATTCCAAAAATTTAGTATTTTAACTAAAAAAAGAGGTACAAAATCATTAACAATGACGTAAAAATGGCTAATATTTTGATGCATTACGAAAGATTTGGCTAATTAATATCATTTAATAGGTTTGGATAATATAAAAGAATATGAAAAAGTTTGGATAAAAAATAGACAGTACCCTAAAAAAAACTATATTGTACAAACTGAACTTGTATTTTTAATGTTATGGTAAATTTTCAATTTGTACTTATACTTTTGTCCAACCAAATTTTTTTACGATACAAACTAAACTTGAACCATAACATTATTATTCAAGTTGAGTTTGTACCTATGCAATGTGGCTAGTGGAATAACATTATGACGACCTAAGATTATGGTAGCGGAATATCATGTGGTTAGTGGAAAAGTCGACAAGACTTGTTTTTTTTATGGATGATGAGACTCAATATTATTATCAAATCGAAATAAAAAGAAAAAAAATATCCAAGACCACAAAAAGGTAGAAAAATCCACACAAATGTGGGTTAAAAACAAGAAGGAAAAAAAGAGAAAAAGTTGGTTCGTATCTGGCTATACCAGCTCAAATCTATATCTGGATCAGCCTAATTTGTTTAGTACTTGTTCCTATGAATTTTCTAGGGTAAATACAATTTAATATCCAAAACTTTCATTTTAAACAATATAATAGCCAAACCTTTTTGAAAACAATCTAATATCCAAATCGTCAACTTTCCGTCCGTTTAACCATTGGTTGACACTTCAAAAAAGCTTTGTTTAGGGGAAATTGTCACAATACAACTTTGTTTTCTTGTTTTGGCTTTGCAGATGACTGAATATTTAGATATTCTATACCATCATGGTGGAGTCATGGACTTCTCAGGTTTGGAACCACGAAATGTTGGTGATTTTTCAGAGAAGATATCGATGGATATTGATGAAGCGTCGTACTTCGAACTTTTTTGAAGTGTCAACTAATGGTCAAACGAACGAAAAGTTGATGATTTGGATATTAGATTGTTTTCGAAAAGGTTTGGCTATTATATTGTTTAGGGTATGTCTACTATGACATGCATGTCACGGTGACATGGACTTTTCGGTCGACCTATTCCTGAATGCGGTCGTCCGAATTGACTAATTTGGGCAGCACGAGAAAGCATTGCGGTCGACCTCAAAGACCACCTGGTCGACCGCACTTAGTTTAAGTTGTTATCTTTGGTCGACCAGAACAAAATCTCGGTCGGCCATTTCGTTGGCGTCAGAAACAACATGGTCGACCACCTAAGGTATATAGGTCGACCACTTGATGGCAGTCATTAACAAAATGGTCGACCGGATAAGGAAAGAGGTCGACCAGATAAAAGATAAGTGTTCTATCAATGTGTCCAATCATTTGACGTTAAATGAAGATCAAGTGTTGGTTTCGAGGTCGACCTAATTCGGTACGAGGTCGACCGAATACAATAAAGTCAACCTATGCCCCATGTCTTTTTTGCTTATGTATGTCGATTTGTGTGGTTCTTTTGCTCGTATAAATTATGTTTCAAACCATCATAAATAGTCATAAATAATGATAACAAGGACTCATCAATTCATAGCATAACAACTAAACAAACTAACAAGAAATACAATAAAACAGAAATCATAATTGTTCACACATAAAAACAAACTAAAAAAACAACAGAATAAACAGCAACAATCGTTTTGACCACTAAACAAAAAAAACACACAATCTAAAATCTCCGCGCTCCTACTCATCTCCCCTCTCTCCCTCATCCACATTTTCTTCATTGGTGGTGCTAGCATGATGGTGCTCGGATGTGGTGGGATGCATGTATCTTCCGCTGAAAGATCGCCACTCATCTCGCATCTCATTCACGGTCACCTGCATTGTGCTCATCTGGGCGGTCATTTGCCCCATGTAGTCGTACATGCCAGTCATCTGGGTGGACATCTGGCCCATGTACTCATACATGCCATCCATGCGCTCCCACACATGCTCTAAGGTGATCGGTGGAGTTGAACTCTGTCCCTCAGCCATTGGCTCGTCTCGAGCTCCTTCATCACCATCATCATCATCATCACCACCACCATGAGCATTGTTTATTCTGACATACTCACCATTACGCAGCTCAAAGCCCATCTTTTTCAGAGATGAAACAGTATAGAACTCCTGTCTTGTGATTCTTAACCCCACCTCTTCACTTAAATTCACATTAAAATGCTCAAATAGCACAGTGAGGATCATCCCATAGGGAAGATTCCTGTTTGAACTCTCTGCAGCAGTAAACATGTGGTTAAAGATCAAGTATGGCAAGTTCACCTTCTCGTTTAACAGTAGGTTGGTGAGGAGCTCCATGTCAAACTAGGTGATTGTCTCCCGATGTCCACCCTTTGGCAGAATGTTGTAGGAAAGCATGTGGTGAAGAACTCTGGCTTGAACTGTCAGGTGGTTACTCGTTGTCCTACTGCGACCCTGAGCATCTTCCTCTTCATCAAGACCACATACCGTCTGGATTTGCTTGGCTCTCGTGAAATGCGTTTCATTCCAAGCACCGTAAGAATGGATTCTCTTCCCCTCGTTTGGAGCCTCTAGTACTTACGCCAACACATTCTTGCTGATGCGCATCACCACCCCATTCACATAGGATTTGAATGCGTGAATGGATCCATTTGCATTGCGCTCGTAGACGATGTTGTTGTAGAAGTACTGTACTAGTTTTGGGTAGTATGGTACACTGAGAGATATCACCTTCAGCCACTCTTGCTCGATGAAGGGTCCCAGAAACCCGTAATTCTCGAAATGAGAATACGCATCCGTCGTCAATGGCCTTCCCGGAGCCACCCTGCGGTTGTGCATTCTCTTCTCTTCATAGTTCTCACTTTGCTCCTTGGTCTGGAACAGATTGGGATTGAACTCTTCCCATTCCGAACTTGAGGCAGCAGCTTTTTGTGCCTTTCTTTTCTTTTTGCCGCCAAACATCCTGCGATCAAACAAGCAAGAATACAAGTTAGTCACATTTTCGAAATGAACAAAACGTGGTCGACCACTCCATAAAGCGGTCGACCTCAGTTAATTTAAAACGAGAATGGGTCGACCTCAGAAGAAGCATAGGTCGACCTCAGTTAATTTAAAACAAGAATGGGTCGACATAAACCCGTAACAATTCAAGTACAAAATTGCTTTCATAGGTCGACCTCAGAAGAAGCATAGGTCGACCTCGGAAAATTTAAATCGATTGAAAACCAAATGTGACTATCAGCAGGAGTGCAGTGCAGGACATTAGACCACCTTGGAATGCACTTGAAGACACAAACGTCTGCTGCCTTCACCGAGTTCTCCTTTGCAACACTATGCCGCCCACCGGCAAGCAAACAACAACAATATAACAAAGAAGACCCTAAAACCTAAACTCTCTTAAATCCATAATAACGGGACATGCGGGGCGGTCTCCCAAATGCTTTTGCTATTGAGTGTAAAACAGATCATGTCGACCTCATAAATAGAAGAGGTCGACCAGAGTTAGTTTCGCACAAATAATTCGTAAAGTAATGGCACAACTCGAACTTTTGCCTTCATAGGTCGACCTCAGAAGCATCATAGGTCGACCTCGGCTAAATTGAAACGAGTCTGAAATGGCCCAAATGCTTTTGCTATTGAGTGTAAAACAGATCCGGTCGACCTCATAAATAGAAGAGGTTGACAATAGTTAGTTTCGCACAAATAATTCTTAAGACAATGGCACAACTCAAACTTTTGCCTTCATAGGTCGACCTCAGAAGCATCATA